CACCGTGTCACACTGCTAGAAACACCAAAGTGCAGAGAAATCGTATCCCTAGAGTTGCCCTTGGCCGAGCAAATCTCCTGACATGAACCCTATCAAAAACCTTTGGACCATACTCGACCGGCAAGTCAAGAAACACCAAAAAAACCAACTTCGAAGAGCTATCTACTCCAAGTTTTGTGACCACGCTGTGTACAACTAGAATCCTTGAGAAGAAAAACTCAACGCTGATAGTTTGACAAGTGCACAAATGTCTATTTACTAAAAAACACAATCACAATACAACATAAAAACAAAACAATAGAAACTGTTTTATGGTGCATGTTTCAACTGATAAAAGTTGGATGAAGACTTATTTGAAAAGCTCTTATTACAGTTCGGCGTGTTCCCCCTCCACATCAGTTAAACTAAAACCTTAAAACAGAAATAAAACCACTCAGACAATTAATCGGGCAGAAATTGGAACTTAAACGTTACTGTTACACGGAGTTAAATCCACATCACAATTCAAAGTAAAATAGAATAACTTTTAAAAGTTTATCTTAACTAAGTTACTCGTACATTTACGGCCGAAAATATCATTTTCAGCGAGGGTACCCAACTGATGAAACAATGCAGTCTAATATTTAGGGGTAAGAACATAAGAAGATTGTATTTAATTACAGCAGCCCCCCTCTTGAGCGACCACACTATGGTTCACATTAATAGTGGTCTTTTAAGAGGGGCGGTCTTTCCTCAGGGGAGGGAAAGCTTCAAGATTGGACTACAACTAGAAGGGCATGGCTAGATTAATGAAGTTATAAACTACAGGAATTACTTTTGTATTGCACATAAATTGCAATGTAAGGCAATTTTATTCCACCACACAACGCTGTACAGTACATACATACATACACACATTGCACACTAAAATAAGAGATAAAATAAAATGCCATAATAATAATCTGTGAGTTTAGTCTGTTGGATTCGTTTTGAATTGCACATAGACTTCTCAATGGCGTCCTGGCTCTTGCTTACATATTCCAGCAACTCGGGATTTTGATGAGCAACTGCAAAGTCTCTCAATTGTTCCAAATATCCCACAGCTGTTTCCGCAGACACAAGTGGTGTTGCTACACTGTCACCCTCTTCCTCCTCATCTGAAGAAAGAGAATAAGTTTGGCCTCTGGCATCAGCCAGAAGCTTTTTCTTCTAGTCTGCCTCTATAGTTTCGTTGGTGACAACATCAGCATCAAAGTTTGCATACTCTTACCAGGTCACATTGAAAGTCTCTACAAAGGCTACAAAATTGTCGTCAACTTCAGGAGTGTCTTCTTCACCATCTTTGGGTAGATCCTATGAAAAACCATCTTTGGCAAAACACTTCTAAGTTGTCGTAGGTCATATGCTATCCCATGCACTCTTTAACCACATTTACCTTCTTGACCAAGTCAGTTGCACATGTGGCTTCATCCATGTGAAACATGTTGCATAAGTAGTTTCATGTAGTACATTTTAATGTTCTGGATGGTTCTAGCATCGCATAGCTCAAGCTTAGGTGTGGTGTTCGGTGGTATAAAAAACAAAACAGCTTTACATTGCTATGGACAATATCAGGATGGGCAGTACAATTGTCCACAAACAATAAAATAGAGTTCTCACTTGTTATTGACCTTGTCGACCCACGTCTGGAATAACTCACTGGTCATCCATGCCTTAGTGTTCAAAGTGTTACGACAGCGGAAGTCACATGACGTTAGTAACATGTGATGAGTATCTAG